GAGCGATATACGGTACAGAATTCGTTAAGTAAAAAGGATGGTTAATTTTTAGCCTTTACTTTCTGTCCAATGATAGTTTCGTCTTCAGGACTGACCGAACGTAATAGAGTAGAAAAGTTGCGGATCTATAAATTCTATAATGCTTTCTATCGAATTCTCATGAAACTCGATTTATCACGATTGCTTCTTCCTCGTCGTTCGAATGAAACGCACTGGTTTAGCTTTATCAGTTTTATCAATATTCCGGGTTGATGTATTTCTGGAAAAAATGCCCCCGGTTCAACAGCGATCGCAGCTCATAGATTGTGGATCGCTTGTCGCGTTACCACGTAACTTATGGTTTTATCGCGTATAACAGAGCATCGCGATGGGGACAACGAACACAGAGTAGTCGCCAGGAAAAGGCGCTTCAATTTCGTAATTCTTTTGTAACAGGAACTCGTGTACTTTGAGAAACACGACTGCGCTCGTACAGTTACTTTTGACCGTATCTATACGTGATGCTTTTTCCTGATTTTTTTCCCAACAAATGCAGCGTTCTACGATAGAACAGTGTTTCAAGTTGTCAGGTTAAATGTCGTTTAATTTTAGCAGCCTTTCACCTTCGAAGGTGCAAAATATTCGCAGCACTAGCGATCTAAACGATGGAGACTGAAGCAATAAGCGAATAACAAGGTATCTGCATAATTCACCGAGTTCATATCGCGATGGTATTCGCAAGCTTCCGATAAAACGGCAAAAGTTCGTCAACAATTGTTAGGGAATGGGTTTATGCCATGGACACCTGTTTACGCTATTTTTGAACGCGCCCCTCTTCTTCTTCGCGTTAATTCATTTTTCTTTCAAATTGGCCACGAAGCCCAGGAAGCGTTTTATGGCTGCGGAAAAATAACTTTTCTGCGGGCCATGTACCTTCCCGGTGCCCACTCGTGAACATTCGATAGACATAGACATGTCATAAAACCTCTCGCGTCTCCCTGACCGCCCAAAGTCCCGCTGCGCGCGGGCTACCCCTTGGGCCTCACTCCCCGCCATCGCGACATACCGCCACCCTGCCAACTTGGAAATTCCAGGGTGGGCGGCATGCTCGCGGGCCAGGGAGGACCGTCCAAGGGGGTAGACCCGTTCCCATTGGCGGAGACCACCACCTTCTACCCCTAAACCTTTTTATAAATAAGCGCACCAACGCGGCGCACATCAGATCAAAAAGGGAAAATGGACTACCACTCGTCAAAATTTTCATTTAACATAACAAAACACGTGCAACCTCACCGCAACACGACTTCATACCAGCAAACAACCCATCGCGAACACGAACCTGCGCCACCACTCTCGAACATACCGCTTGTTCGAAGCGCACGACGCAACAACAGTAATGGAAATTAATTAGGTGATCGATCCGTTTTCGTTCTTTTTAAATAAAACTTTGATTACACCCAAAAGCCGGAGAGAATTCATTTCTACACCTGATCGATTTATCAGTGGAATATCGGAAGTGTGTTATCGTATGGTCTTTATACGGTTTAGAATGCGCCATGGCGCCGAGAAAGGAGTTTAAGCGTGAATTTATTTGGAACGAGTTAATTTATAGCGCATAATTCGGTCGCGTGCGTACATATGTCAATCGAGGTAACCTGGAATGTAAAATCTGTGGGCGTTGGTCAGAATTGTCGACATCCTCGATGTACGCGCACGCGATCGATTTGATTCGGAGAACGTTTGTGGTATAACAGTACCCTTATTTTCGGTCACTTTCAAACCAGTCACTCGCTATTAATACAAACTCTAACCCGTGTAATAGGCGCCAGCATGTGTCGAGTTCGATCCGTGACTGGCATGATAGTTAAGCTGTACAATGTCACTTCCAATCCAGCGAATCAGCTCGTTTACAATAATTTCACTTCCAAGCTTTTTCAATTTTTTTCCATCAGACGCTGCAATTCTTTCGTACATAATTCTTCTTGACGTGACATTTAGGTGCTCGTAAAAGAACTTCAGTAAAAAAAACAGTTTCAACGTTTCTATTAACTGCAACTGCGTCGTTAAAGAAAAATCGGATTTTTACACATTCGTCGAGATATTCTTGTATTCTCCAAGTACCATTTTGCCGCCTTTTTACGGATATTTCTCAAGTATCGTGGGAATTGAAGAAAATGTCCTTTCGTTTTCGATTTCCTCCGGTACCGATCGAAGGTAAAGTAGAGCCACCGAGATCGGATCGGTCGTGTTCAAGGTCGGTTCGATCCGACAATTCATAGCCCAATTTTGTAGAATCTCGAGCACCGTAACCAGCGTTCGATTGGTATTCCGTGAAAGATCGCCGCGGAGTACGTCGTTCGTGGAATTCCTAATGGAACTTGCTTCTTTCTTGTGCCCGGTGGAACGAACCGGAGCTGCCCGTCGAGCTCATTGTCATTCATTGTAATTCTAGAAAGAGCAGCGTTTCAACGCCGTTTTGTAGATGTCGTAAAATAAGAATGAAACGAAAAGGGAGGGAAAAACAATAAGGAGGAAGGAGAGGCAGAAGAGGGAAACGGTGAAAGAGCGTTCCTTATTTTCCGGTGTATAACCGTGTTACTCGTCTACATTTTCGGTTAGTATGTTGTTATGACACGCAGATGGGTTTAGAAGAGCTGTTACGAAACGCAGCCTGTTCAACCGGACTTTCTGCATACGTGTAGGGCCTTGTAAAGGGCATTTGTCTGTTATAAAATGCGCCGTTCTTTTTGGTTAACAGTTACTCCCGCTATTTTTAGGAGATTCCTCTTTGGGAGATTCCTCCTCTTAGGAGATTCCGCTTTGACTTGAAATTTCGTTTCGTGGTACGTTGAGTAAATATTAATTTTTGACAATGGCAACTAGATAATGCAATTTCTGAATCGAGTAGTCTGACGATTTATGTCTGTGACTACTTTGAAGCTACTTTTACATTTTATTTCCTTGATGTTCTTCAAGTTACTGTTGTTAATTGCTAATTTACACACAGAATACTAATTTTCTTAGTAGACGATAGTGGATTTTATTGTGTTTTACATGGACTCCTTCCTTTTCGTGTTACACATATTTGTACTGATACTGCTGGTCTAAATAACAGATGATGTATAAATTAATAAACTGATAACTAATGTAATAAACATACTTATATGTTTATTCAGTTTCACAGCTAAGAATAGGACTTGGTTTACACTCTGATAACTAATATAAATAATGTTAATCCAAATTTTTACATAATAGTTGAATAACTATTATAGCCATGTCGAAAATTAACATAAATAAATTTATTGTTGTTGAATTTATTTCAGCATTATTAATGCTCAATCTCATCTTTAATTATCGTTACACTTTACATAATTTGTACAGTGACCTGGTTATTTTATTGTAGAAGATTTCTAGTTATTTATGCATTATTATATTTAAATTTGCATGCTCCCGGATATCAATTTTTATAAATACGATATTCGCTCAACTATTGTTACAGCTATTTAATTAACAATTTCGTCAATCATCCTCAGCGGTAGAACATTGCACAAGTGACCGCAGCTATCTTGAGATCAGCTGCGCTCGAGCCGCGGTCAATTATCGCTGAAGATAACAGACGCGTATTACATATCTTGGTATAAATTTCTGCTCAAACTATCAAATTATTAATCAATAACTGGTAAATAATTGTTTTGCGCATAAGTTGTAGCATAATTTAAAATACATTTTACTCTTACTTCTTGCTACGTCGAACTAATAATCATGATATTATTCTATGCAAAACAGGAAAGTTTGATAGACGAAATGATTTTCCAATAATTCATAACTTTGTATTATTATTCTTTCGAGTGTTTCGAAATATATTTCACAATTATGCGCTTAAAATATGAAGTCCTACGTATTTGTCAATAAATTTAAGGATACTGAAGGTAACAATTGAAACTTCAAACGTACTTCGTTTCAAGCAGACTTCACAAAACGTTATCTTTGTTATTAACACGTTCGTTACCACCGTCACGTATGTATGCGACGCCTCAATTCTCATTCTACATCAACATTATCTTCCTGCAGTACATCCTACAAAATGTACAGTTTGCGTATTTAATACATACTAGATGCACATGAGTGTAGGCACCCATCGTATTATGTAAAATTGATAGAAACATAGATATGAAGACATAGATATGAAGTGCTTCCACAACTGTGTATCGGGGCCTCCATATCCAAATAAGTAGAATAGAGAATAGACCCTCAATATTTGGGTCCCTTGGGTCCCTCAATATTTTTCCGTCGGTTCCTAGAAATGGGGTCTCGTCCGGGATGGAGGCATCTACGGCTGCACGAAGCCCCAGGCGCTGTGAGATGAAAGCAGCTCGAGGGTTGCACGTCTCCCAAAAATGCGTTGTTTCGGCTGTGTGCCACTGTGTGGGGGAGTGTGCCCGAAAGTGTTGAGTTGTGTTGCGCTGAGGACATTCGAGGGCGAATGTGTAGTATCGGGGCCTCCATACCCAAATAGGAAACCGACGGGGGACAATATAGAGGGAGTGGTTGGCGTAGCGCGCAAAGCCTCGGCTTGCTAGGCCGTAGGTCCCGGGTTCGATTCCCGTTGGGTCCCTCATTGTTTTTCCCTAGGTTCCTACACTAAAAACAGCAAGTATTCTGTGACAAATTTGTTTTCACAATGAAAAAACATTTGTCAATACACCCAAAGAAAAAATTCTACATATTCCGAAACGAAAAATATATACGACTTAGGTAAAGTGTTGAGTTGTGTTGCACTGAGGACATTCGAGGGCGAATGTCAGTTCAGGATGGCCGAGTGTAGTATCGGGGCCTCCATACCCAAATAGGAAACCGACGGGGGACAATATAGAGGGAGTGGTTGGCGTAACGCGCAAAGCCTCGGCTTGCTAGGCCGTAGGTCCCGGGTTCGATTCCCGTTGGGTCCCTTGAAATTTTTCCGTCGGTTTTTACAAACGTGGAAAAAAGAAGCTAAGTAATTTTGTTCTTATATTTTTCAGAAGGTGAACTGCGAATCTCCGCTGGTTGACAGCAGTGCCCTGCCATTGGAGCACAGATCCGTTTACGGACCACCGGCGCAATATGGTCCTCCGGCGACACACGGCGCAGAGGAGAATTGGCCATTGGCCTCTCCAGATACGCCTCAAATAAAGCACCTTCAGGTGCAGTGCGAGAAGACGCACATGCGAGTGAACATCGAGTTCGACAGGCCGTTCTACGGTATGATCTTCAGCAAGGGTTTCTACTCGGATCCGCACTGCGTCCACTTGAAACCAGGCACGGGTCATCTTAGCGCGACCTTCGAAATCTTCTTGAACTCGTGCGGAATGAGCTCCTCGGCTAACCACAATGTGGCGGCTTACGGAGCCCCGACACCTTCCGGTAGCTACGTCGAGAACACTATAATCGTTCAGTACGACCCGTACGTGCAGGAAGTGTGGGATCAAGCGAGGAAGTTGCGCTGCACTTGGTACGATTTCTACGAAAAGGCGGTCACCTTCAGACCCTTCCAAGTTGACATGTTGCACGCTGTCACTGCCAATTTCCTCGGTGACAATTTGCAATGCTGGATGCAAATTCAGGTTGGCAAGGGACCGTGGGCCAGCGAAGTGTCCGGTATAGTGAAAATTGGACAAACTATGACGATGGTCCTGGCGATCAAGGACGACGAGAACAAGTTCGACATGCTGGTGAGGAACTGCGTTGCTCACGACGGCAAGAGAGCGCCTATTCAACTGGTGGATCAGTATGGTTGCGTTGTCAGGCCGAAGATCATGTCCAGGTGAGTAATAAAGTCCTTCCTCTACTTTTCTACGATATTTCACACAAGTTTCCCCCGTTTACTTACGATTCTTCCTCGACCACAGGTTCCAGAAGATAAAGAACTTCGGTCCAAGCGCTTCCGTCGTCAGTTTCGCCTACTTCCAAGCGTTCAAGTTCCCAGACAGCATGAACGTTCACTTCCAATGCGTGATACAAGTCTGCCGTTACAACTGTCCGGAGCCGAAATGTGGACACCCTGGCCTCGAGTATGGCGCTCCTGCCGCGGGTCTCACTCAGGAATACGGCGCGCCAGTTCATCAGAGCCTTGGTCCTGAATACGGTGCGCCGCCGGTACCTGAATACGGCGTGCCACCCGCGTTCGCTGACCCCCGACATCCTAGTGGACCGGCTGGAGCATACAGGTTAAATGGCCAACTTGTTAACTCGACTACAGTAATCTTTGCCAATTAACGCGTTCACTGTTCACCGATGCACACGTCAGCTAGGATCAACTGAATTCGTTATCCTATTTTCAGAGTAATTCTCGATTTGTGAACGTGTACACTTTTATAACAATTTTCGGAAGTACATATTCCGACAAGCCACGGCAAAAGGGATGTTGAATAACACTGTGCGAAATTGAGAAAGAATCTTGAAAAATTGAGAAATGGTGGAAGATGAGTGTAACTGAGTTTACACGTGATCAGAAATTAATATTGAACATATGAAAGATTACATTTGCTGAAATACTTTACTGTGACATTTTGTTTGCGAAGCTGATTGAGAGATACTATTCGTTTTAGTAAGCTATGAAAAGTTGTGATTCACGCTCTATAGACTCGTAGAAGCTGACTCTTGATCACACCTCTGCGGAGAATCGAAAATTCAGTGACGCAAGTTTCTTGTGTTCAACTATTCAACGAACACGAGATTTTCGAAATAGCATGTCTCGTTACTCTTCTGAAGCATCTAGGTTCGATTTTTATATTCTTTATTTTCACAACGTGTACTTGTATAAAATAATGTAAACTCACACGTATTGAAGTCAGCGAGTTGAAACTTATTTCGAAGGTAGAGTAAGGATATACTAATTAGCTGATGTATTTTATCTTAGCATTGTCATTAGTTTTCGAGGGAAAAATTCAGTCTCTTTAGTTTTCTGATACAGTGGTATATCCCTACAGAGAGAATCAAATTAAGGGTGTTACTGTAAATGCAAAGAATAACGCCTATAAATGGCAAACCTAGTTTTTTGTCTTTGGACAGTAATCGCGTTAGTATTGCATTAATAATACTATGAATCTAAATTAACAATGAAATTAGAGTCACAAAAAATCATTTTGAATTTAATCGATTAATGCTGAAAAGTGTTATTAATTCGAAAAAAGCTAGTCATTTTCGTATATCTGTTATGTATACCGGGTGTCCCAGATTTTTTCCGATCAAACTTTGCCAGTATGTTCTACGTGTATAACTAAGAAAAATGTGTTATACAGACATAGGTTGCTCGAAGCTTCGTTAAAAAGTTATAACAAAAATACGAAATACGAAAGACAACAACTACGATACAAGACAAAAATGGCGCTGGCAGAAATTACATTTAACATTTTCAACGACCTCAGATCGTAAACTCAGCTTGCATAAATAGACTATATACAGGGTGTTCCAGGTTTTAATGGCCAAACGTTGTTAGTATATTCTGTGTCGAAATAAAAAAAAAAATGTTATACAAGCATAGGTTTTTTAGAGCTTCGTTAAGAAGTTACGACAATAATACGAAATGAGGGGAACAATAGCAGACTCGCGGTTATTGCGATGTAATACAGAAGTAGATCAGCAATATTTACGTTTACTCTGTTTATGCAAAAAGCAACTAATACTCCATCTCAAAAATGTCCACCGTTTATGGCAATGCAAGATTGATATCAGAAAACATCAGAAGATATCAGATTACTCTGCAAATTTCGTTACTATTTTGTTTCATTTCGGTAAATGCATCGTTGATTTTTCGTATCAATTCATTACGCGATCTTGTAAGTATCGCGCAAATATTGATGATCTATTACTGTATTACTGCTGTAACTTTTTAACGAAGCTCTAAAAGACCTACACTACCCGCCAAATGTTTGGAATCACTGTGCATTGCAAGTTGCACAAAAATTCCCCAAAAGGGTTAGCACTTATAATAATTTTCCAACGAATTTTTTATCATTCAAATCAATCGAAATGAGGTAAAGTGCTATTGGTCACCACAGTATCAATTTCGATGTTAATATAAATTGGCAGGTGATTCCAAACTTTCGGCCGGTAGTGTATGTTTGTATAACAGTTTTTTTTATTTCCACCCATAGAATATCCTGACAACGTTCGGCCACTAAAACCTGGGACACCCTGTATGTAGATGTGTATATCGCTGATCTACTCCTACTTCGTATCCTAATTGTGTTACAATTTCCAAACGACCTACGTTTATACAAGATTTTTTTCTTACTTACACCCACAGAATATGCTGACGAAGTTTGATCGGAAAAAACTGGGACACCCTGTATGAATATTTTACAGTTACAAATTGTAATTAGTACTGCTATTAATTTCACATGATTGCAACTGTCGTGAACGTGAAAGTGGCGAAAGGTCCTTTCGAAAAGAACTTCAAGCGGTACCTAGGCCAGGCTTTGCTTTAGATTTAGCCTCAAAGGACTACAGGGATGGGAGGGAAAGAAAGAGAATGTTTGAAAGCTGGTAAAGTGCGATCTACGCTGCGCGAAGGATACGTCTGCTCCTCCTTCTTGGTTACCAGGATCAGAGGTATCACCTAGAGGTGCCACTAACACGCAGCGAAGGTTGGCTAAGGTGGAAAGGGTTATATAGGATAAGCGACAAGAGTTTTTGCCACTGAGCCTTTAGTGTTGCCTCAGCGAAAAGCAGTCTTGTTTTTCTCTTGTAATTTTTTTACGCCTCTGCTCCTTGTATTATAAAACGTTCTTTTCGGGCTTAATGCACGGGAAATATTGTAGTCTTACTTTTCACCTGCGATCAGCGCATGAATAAATTACACGAAAAATCTTAGACATTCTACAGTACTTATATCTCGGATATGATTGACAAATACAAAGAATTTTTTACGGAATAGTATTTAAGTATCAAGTAGATTTACTAGATCTCGTTAAAGGCAGAATATTCTATTTGGTAACTTCAACTAGACAAAATTAATTTGCATAATTTTGCGACTGTGTTGCGACAAAAATGACTAGAAATAATTGACTTTCCTCTTGGCTCGATATTACTGTATGTTAAAAGTGAACGTTTATCTTTAAACAGCGAACCGAATGCGGATGTTGTACCAGCGCCACAAGCACAAACCTCATCCTCCTCGCCGAGTTCGACGCCGGGCGACGCGACGGCAAGTAGCTCGCCACAGAGTCCGCAGGATAACATTCACCTTCCTCCACCTCCTCTTCCTGGTCACCCGGCAGCGGCCTACCAGACCGTGAAGAGAAAGGGAACCGCCAGTTCCGAGGAGCTCGAGGGTAACCTGGCCACCCTCGGAGGTCGGCCGAGGTCGGTTGAAGGTTTTCCAGCCGAGCTTAGAGGTGCTAGAAGACGAAGATCCGATGACCAGGAACATCTGGAAGACCATGATTCCGTAAGTAATCTACGTTTACCTGTGTAATCTCTGGTAACAGTGATTCGAAGTGGAATAATAGAACGAAAGGTAATTTATATCGACCGATGAAGTTTGGAGTCGAAATCGCACTGTGATTGAGCAAGCCTTCAATACTGTGCAAGATTTTTGTATTGTTTGTGTTAAACAAATTCAGTTACGTTTGGAAAGAAATATTTCGATAGACTATTTGTAAAAAGGATTTTAAACGTCTTATTTATGAATGATTGTGAGAAAGAAGGGGGTATTTAAACGTGCTACCGAAATTAACTTGTTAAATTTAGCGGTTTTGCTATTTCAGTGTTCAGTTTTGCTCCTTAGCAGTTTAGAGAATATTACTGATTTCTTTCGATCTGGATTGTAATAAGTTTTTAAATTAGGAAAAGGAGTGATTGAACGTGTAATAAACAATTCTACCGTAAACTGATAGCAGAAATGAATATTTCTACTTACTTTTCTTCCATATACTTTCTTTCGTATCTCTTGTACAATTCGTTATTTTGTCGCCATATTGCAGTGGCAATCGCATTGAGAACAATATTGATTTACATAATAAAACTAGCACAGAAACTGCATATTTTTATGTAATTCTTTAACAGTTTTTTTAAATAGTCGATTCTTCAGCGGTGTTCAATTATCTCGCGCGTTACAATTTGCAATTATCCAGTTGAAACGTGTTGCGAATTCTTCTATAACGATATCAATAACTACTTCCTCGACCCTATTTCCAGAGCATCTATCGAACTGTAAGCTTGGTCTCCACGCACGTGTACAAACGAGCAGCCCAGGAGATGACGGACGTGAACACCTCCAGGACCATTCAGGTGGTTGCACCGGGCGACGTGAACTTCGCATTAGGCACAACAAATTCGAGCAACGACACCACGGTGGTTATCCAGAACGCGAGCGCCTCCGCGGATCCCGAGACGATCTGCATGAGTTTGCCAGGCTTCGTTGGCGGTCTGGTGATGCTTCTTCTGGTAGTGGTAGTCGCCTCGCTGGTCGCGGCGTTCTTATTCGTGAGGGTGCGAGCTGTCGACCGGAAGAACGTCGGCGTTGCTGGTAGCGGCTTCGTCCATCCGGCATACGCGACGGACAACTGCAGCGTGCCGAACCCGGAATTCGTCAAGGTGGCCAATTGAGACAGCGACGACGAGAGATTGCTTGGCGAAGAACGAAAGATAGTGATTTCTCGAGGATGGCCGATCTCGAGGACAGACACCCATGCTGGAATATTATTTCATTTCTCGCGTGTTCGAGCCACATTCTCGGACACTCTCTTCGTTCTCCTCTGTCGTTCGTTCGTAACAGTCTTCCCCGTTCGAAATTCAGCTTCTTTTCCCTCGAGTCTCTTTCCTTAGACGAATCTTAGTCAATCAGACGTCCGGCCTTTCTTATTCGACCGAACTCGTGTATTCGAGTGAAAGAACGGGCAGAATCCTCGAGTACCGTGTAAATAAGTGCACTAGAAACGCGACTCTATGGGAGAGAGGAAAAGAGAGAAGGAGGGCGAATCGAAGAATCGCAACAGCGACGATTCTGGAGCACGTTCCTACATGTCATTCTGTTTCAACGAACTTTTATTCCCCAGCTTGTTTGAAATCGCCGAATATCCCGGTCGTAGCACAATTTCTATTTATACATACGTACATACGAACGGCAATTGCATGGAAAAAATTCCGATATGTTCTGGTAACGATGGAACGTTCTTCAATGTGAATCGTTGCGGACCGACAACTTCATGGCACGTCACGATCGTACCGTAGAAGTAATAGTAGCTACTTAATGTCACATAGAACGGTGGTTACAGACGAGATGCGACGTGCTGTGCGGCTGAGGTTCACCGATCATCACCAGACCAGTCTCGGAGGGCGTTGTAAATAAGTCGAAAGTAGTCAGACGGCCCTTCGCGACGCGGGGCGCGGACCGAATTCCGCCGCCTCCGATCACAATGTGTGTATACACTCGATTATTCATACGTTTTGTATACTTGAAATCGCGAGCTTGAAATTGTAACTCCCCTTTTTCAAGTTCGTTGTACCTCATGCTTCATGCGGCACAAGCTTCGCGTTGTTTATGTCCGATGTCATACGTCGACGTTGAAACTCCGCGACGATCTTTTGTACGCCTTATTTATTCTTCTCTTTCTCCTTGCATTCTTTCTAATTCGAAAGGATTACACCTAATCCTCGATTTATTTAACGATCTAACCCTAATTTATTTCTCAAAAATTTCTTTCCCAAGATATCCGTCTTTCTCGTCATCTCTCATTTGCCCTTTACCCCCTCCTTTTGCCTTCTTTGTTCACCTAGTACTTAAGAGTTTTCGATGAGAGGATATTCCCCGAACATGGGGGGATACGTATGAAGTATGTGTTTTTACACACGCTGGTATGCACACGACCACACGTACACGTGTACACTTAATGTAACTTATGATGGAGAATTGAACGTGAATACATATGCGATAGTACGCACGTACGTGAATTGCATTGTATGTATACATTGTTACACTGACGCGAGGAATGTATACACCAAGATTTGATTATTTCATCGTTATTTTAATTACATACTCATTTTTATTTGTACAATCCTGCGTCCCTCTTCTTAATCCCTTTAACGTGTTTACGTTGTTTCTCGATTATTTTGGGGAAACGTGGCTTTCGAGGAACATGCGTGTATAAAGTCAATTGGAGAAAAGAAAAATTAGAAAGAGAACACAATTTGCAGCTTCAGAATAAGAAAAATTAAGTACTAAGAGGATGCTAACAATTAGCGCTGAATATTAAAGGATATGTTTCTTAAGATGGAGTATGATCTATTTTATCCTATGAGAACCATTTTCAAAAAATCCTTTCACAAGAAAGAAGAAAAGGAAACGAGGAATCTGACGTTGTGTATTTGTAGTAGAGATCGTAGGTTTGAACGTGTTAACGTGCATTAGGGAATTATAATAAAATCGTGTTAAACACGTGTATTGACGTATTTTAATTTACGATTTTCAGCACACGGCGAAACGTGTATTTAGATTTCCGTTTCACGTGCATTTAAATACGCGTCCGTGTTTTAATTCGTGTAATTTTTAATATAATACACGGATACCGGAGTATTTAAGTACATTTACCCAAGTAATTTGCTGAAAGAAGATATGGCTTCACAAATTGCTAGGTTGCTGACGACAATAATAAATTTCGGCATGATACAACGGGAAGAGATAAATACACGTGAAATAGAGATCTTTACTTACTTAAATTAAAACACGTTAATACAGGGGTAGTAAAAATTACACGGATTGTAGTACAGTTACGTTTAATACAGGTGAAATAGGAATACACTACTATGATTACGCGACGTACCGATATTTTCGGCCTACATACTGCACAGCTGATATGAGTTTCGGAACAAATTTGGTTTTTTAACCCTTTCGCGACTAGCGCCGGTTATATCCGGCATCCGCTAAATGCTTCACACTGGCTAGCGCCGGTTATATCTGGCATCGACTAAATGCTTTACACTGGCTAACGCCGGGTATATCCCGCATCCGCTAAATGCTTCACACTAGCTAGCGCCGGTTATATCTGGCATCGACTAAATGCTTTACACTGGCTAACGCCGGGTATATCCCGCATCCGCTAAATGCTTCACACTAGCTAGCGCCGGTTATATCTGGCATCGACTAAATGCTTTACACTGGCTAACGCCGGGTATATCCCGCATCCGCTAAATGCTTCACACTAGCTAGCGCCGGTTATATTCGGCATCCACTAAACGCGTCGCATTGGCTCGCGCCTCGACAACTCAAAGTGAAGATTTATTTTAAAAGACAGAACAAGGCCTCAACAACGTTCCCTTTATCCGATACACCCTCAAGTCCTCTGCTATTCCAACGAAATCCTCTAAGATTTGAAAAAACGCGAGACACTCTAAACGCGTACGGTGTGCACTAATGGCACGACGACTCGTTCGTTAGTGGCGTACTGATGGCTAGTTCCGCCGTCGCGAAAGGGTTAAACGAGATAACTGTGAATTGATCGGGTTAACAAACGATTACGATGTTATGTAGTTGATTTTGGTGTGAATAATGTTGATACGTGTGCGTTGAAAATAGTAATAATTTCTGATTCCGGAAACCAATTCCATTCTCTTCAGAAAGTTAAGGTAGAGCAAGCATTGGTAGTGGTGTTTTTAAGGAGAGGAAATATAAATTGATATTCTAAATTGACTTCCTAGGAAAGTGGCGGAGAGAGAAAGCGTAGTGGAGTGGTATAGTCGGTCGAAGCAATGTAGCGAGGTAGTAAAATCAATCAGGCGTCAAAGCACACGTAATCAGAGCGCCAAAACAGCAATTCGAGGGAGATAAGGAGCTCAAGCCTTGCTCAGGGCCGTTCGATGTCAACTCGCAATTGCTTCTTTCATTGCAGTATATTTAAAAAATTTGTCTGCGCCTTAATCGTCGGCAGCTGCAGGTTAATTCTTACCAATACGGAAATTACTGTTGAACGGGAGACAACAGAGGCTTAATACCGTGTATCTTAACCCTTTCGTCGCTGTTGGTGCCTATAGGTGCTTCGAAAAATTGCTCGCAGCGTGCTGTTGGAGGTTTCTCAAGCACTTCCCCTTCGATACGGCTTCGTCTTTGGCCACTATGCCTCCGTTGAACGGACAGTTTTATCGCGAATACGCTACCACTGAACGAGACAGCTACGACGTGAACCACATTTCACTGGATAACGAGCATAGCAGTTAAATTTTGCCGTGCAAACCAAAGAATTGGCGGGAAGAAATGATACTTTAACACTTTTTATAGTAATAACACTTAGTAAAATTGCTTAATAGGGGGAGTTCCCTTAACGCCGGACGGCGCCTAATATCGGACATTAGTTATATCTGCAATAATTGAAACGCTACCGAGCCGTTATTCTGCGTATCTCCTAGAGGAGACAAAAGGAATAAAAATAAGTTTGCACAGGTAAAGAAATTTATTTAAGAGAAACCTTAAGCGTCCGGCGCTAGGGGAACTCCCCTTAATATTACCTTTTGCGAATTCTTTATGGGTGACTATTGTCGCCGCTAGTTCACAGCGAGCGTTGAACGATGGACGACTATAGTCGTCGTTAGTATCGAAAGAGTTAATCCTTTGCATACTTCCACCTTAATCGAGTAAAGCAAAATCTAAAACGAAAGATTTTACGCGAGAGATTTTTATCTGCCGCACGCGTTGCATAGTAAAATCTGCCGCAGTGAAAGGGTTAAATGAAAGATTGTAATTAGAAATTTTAAATATCAATTCGCAAACAATGTAGGGACCTGTTTGCGACTGCATCAATCGATGTCGTCGCTTAATGCTTTAATTTACGACCTCACTGTATCGCTTCCACCAACTATACTCGTGGCGACCGCGGAAAGAGGTAGGAGTGCTTGATCTTAAAGCAGGTAGGCTGTAATTAGTGTGCTCGATGCCCCATTGTACATGAAATTGAGGAAAGATCTTTTAATTACGTGGTTACCATCGATGTTGTCAACAGCTTTTGTTGCTAGGTTAAAAAGCAATTATTAGGGATTCTTGAGAGGCTTAAGAAGGTATGGGTCTTTACCTGTTAGAAGAGGTGTGAAAGTCTGATGGAATGAAAACTGCGTCACAATTACGAAGCAATATTTTATGTTTGTATTACACATCACTGGACGTAATGAAAAGAAAAATATTGGTAGTGTGGTACATGTAAAATAAAAAATAGTGCAAGATATTTATATATAACCTGCGTTTACAAAATTAATCAACATACTATTACATATTTTATTTCATCTTTATTTGTCATGTGTCACATTAATTTTCGCAAAAAGGTAAGGTGAACTGGTTTGCTATAATGGAGCGGAAATTAATCGAAATTACAGTGGACGACATCTAGTTCCTGACATTTTCCAGACATGCAAGAGTGGCCTGTATTTATTCATCATAAATTTTCGTTCTCTGGCCGATTGTCTAACTTTTTGAAACTCCTTAGCTATATCGTCCATACTGCTGTTGTCCCACTTCAAATGAGGTGACAATACATTTTCGAATTTGCATCTGTTACAGACAGAATAATGCATTTATTTTAATTGATACATCAGTTGTATTGTACATTTGTTACTTACTTCAGCATGTTTTCTATAGAATTCGAGTTGACGAAATAGGATGCTACTTTCATGTTTAGATTCAACATCGTACCCAATTCTATTCTGCAATTGAATTTATCGGCAACGTTAACTTGCGGTTTGGATAAAATTGAAGGCTAATCTTTGCTTCTGCTGTCATACCTGATGGTTTTTGCATTGGCAAAAAATTGAAGGCTTATATTCCTTCGACTTAAAATCCTTGAGCTGATATAGTCGTTTAACTTCAAACAAATCACTTTGAAGTGGCAAGTGTCTTCAGCGTATCTTTAACAGATGTCATATCTAATTAGTTTGGTGCAGTAAAATATGCCTAATATTTTTCTAATTTCTATACTACGTGAACCCTTTCGTTACGGCAAATTTTACTGCGTAACGTGGATGACTGACGGTAAATTTTCAATCACCACTGCAAAATCTGTTCTTTTGGCCATATCTTTGAAAATTTGATTTATTACACCTTTATCTCAGTCGCATAGTGGGGGAACCTCGGGAGGGGAAATTTGCTCGTGAGCAAGAAGTTAAGCAGCTCTGCTCTAAACGATCCGACGTCAATGATTTGATTTATTACACCTTTATCTCAGTCGCATAGTGGGGGAACCTCGGGAGGGGAAATTTGCTTGTGAGCAAGAAGTTAAGCAGCTCTGCTCTAAACGATCCGACGTCAATACGTTGAGATAGCCATGCTGCTGTTATTTATTCCTAACCTTATTGTTAGTAATTCTACGTTACGAGAAAGTTTATCTACTGTCGGAGGAAGGGACAGTTGAAGCTTTTAAATAAAATAAGAGTTGATTTCTCAGTGGCCTCGAACGGCCCAAAATTCGTGAGTTCTACAATAGTAAGTAACCCTTTTGGTTCAACAATTTTTCGACTTTTTCGTCTAACGTACTTGGATTTCACTTCTTTTTCCTTCTCATTGAAAATATCAGAGTTTTCATTCACGGCCGTTTTTATTCCATCCTGCGATCTTGCAGACGATTTCGGCACTTTGTCACTTCCGGTACTAGACATATCGTACATAAAACGTAAGCATCGATCGTATTGAAGAAAATGCTTTCTCCAATATGCTTACCCAATTAATATTGCCCCTGTGGGTGGATGCAGAAGCTGTTCCAAGCGTATTGTTGATTTTTCCTGAGTTAACAAATAAGTATCGAATAAACAGTGATCTTTTCTTATTTTCTTTTATGCGTTTTTCCTTTCCATTTACTTCGGCATGAACTGTTAACCCCTTGCCGTATAATAACGAGTCAGACTCGTGCTACAGATTTTGGTCAAGATCTGATAAGAACATTTATATCGGTAACAAAAATTAATTTTAATTCCAATTTTCGATTTAATTCGTAAAATTGTATTTAATTACTTAATCTGCAATACATCAGCTTTTCTTATTTAGTGTCATACTAAAATTTTAAATAGCTGACGCTTAGATGTATAATCAGGAAAAGAAGTTATACGTAAAGGGGTTAACAATGGCGTAGAGCTGTAAAGTAAGTAACCTAATCTAAATTGTTGAGAAAAGATGAGAATATAAATATCGTGTTATTTGTAACGAATCTTGGAAGTTATGTTCTACTTATTCGTATTCGTTTGTGTCTTTTTCTGATGAGGTTGGATTATTGCAATAGCAGTATAATACAGTGTTTTAAGAAATGATAGGTTCACCTACATTTATTGTCGTAACTTACGAACAAATGTATGAATCGATCTGAAATTTTCAGGATATTAAGCTCTTATATTGATAAAATTCTCTGTTAAATATTATTTAGAAGCATCGGTTAAAAAAAGAATTAGGAATTATTTTCCGAACGTAGCCAGTTTTTCATCGTTAAGAAATGATAGGTCATTTAAAATTTTTTATCAAGGCAAAAATGAAAATTAATATTTAATAGGCCTTCCGCCACTTTTGATTCAGAAAGTGATCCGTTTTGGCATAGATTTTACAAGATCCATAAGTTGCCGATCCGTAACGCGATTGCAAGCGTTTATAATTGCCGTTTTGAGCTCGTTTGTGCTACTGAATTGACGGCAATCCTCGTAAACATCGCGTACCAGTTGTCCCTATAAATTCTCTATGGGGTTAAGGTCAGGGGACCTTGATGGCCATATTAATGTTTCTATATTTTATAAGCAAGAGCTTAATATCCTGAAAATTTCAGATCGATTCATACATTTGTTCATAAGTTACTTATTTCTTAACACACTGTATAGCAGTAAAAATATACAAGGTGTTCGCGCTACTAGTTTCCACCATTTTTCTCGTAAGTGGTAGATTTGTGGAAAAAATGGAAGAGGACAAAATTTTATTCTTTCTTATAGGCAATACGATGGCTCGATCGTTCTTCGTATAATGACAATACCATGAGTTTTTTTCAATTGATAACTAATTGCTTTTATATTAAATAAGAGCAGTTGACAAGGCAAGTTCAACGACTTACAAAGAAGTCATTTTCGTGTCAATATTTGGTGTGGTGTAATCAATGACACTATTAGGATATTAGGATCTTACTTTTATGACAGCACTTTAAATGAAAATGGATATTTAGAAGTTCCAAGCCACGAATATGCAAAGTTTCACTTTTTGGGTAATGAAGAAAAAATGATTTCACAGTTAAATTTAAGACCGAAGCATAAATTAATATTTGCAAGAAAACTTCCAATATTTTGATCTCCAGAATTATTTGATCACATTCTGCGTTTAGTTGTGAATTTCCATAATTTATCGAATTCCATATTCAATGGTATTGGCATGGGGGGGGGCTCGATAATACTCGTGCTATGAATCACCTCTTACTTTTCATCCATATTAAATCTGCTGCTAATTTTTTATTAATTTGAAGTTTATCTCAATTCTACATTTACCAATATATCTCATATCAATTGATTCGAATGATAAAAAATTCGCTGACTTTTTTCTGGAAATTTGTCTGTAAATTGCAATGCTCGGTGATTCCAAACTTTTGGCCGGTAGTGTATTTATGAACGAAAGTGTATAACGTATGATTTTCAACTTAATTGTAAACAATTTTCTTACGACCACTTCATTTGTTTGTGTGTTAATAATACTAGATATAATTTTACAAAAGGTTCATTATATCAGTCTTAACTTATTACGGGGTACAGGTTGAAGAAACTAATAAGTAAGAGTTCCAATTGGGCTAAGATAAAGGAGAAGTACGATTCCTTTTTATACGCTTCATAGAAAAACCAGATTTAAATAACGCAACTTCTGTACTTCCCATATTTTCTCTTTGTAAATAAACAATCTACAGTTTAGACGAGTTTCAGTTCTCTATTTAAAAAGTAAACTTCAATTTCAATACGTTCAAACCTACTTAGTTCCAGCGAATTAGTTCCAGCAACTAATTATCCTCTCAAATAACACTTGTAATTATGAAAATGCCGAAAGTTCAATAAATATATGAATGTAGCTATATATTCTCACCACTTGCACGGTCTTCGTTATTGATTTCTTTTCCACGGTGTCCCATTTCCATATCAGCGGTATCCCCGTGGGATTATCCGTCCAAATTCCTCCAATCTGATTGTAGGACAGTCTGCAGAAATAATTGGAAACTTAAACGCGGGCTACGTCTCGGGCGACACTAATTAAAAATTCCTGCGAAATTCTTTTCCGGCACGGACCTTGTTGCACCGTCCTCGTCGAAAATAGCGCCATTCCCCACGCTGTCAAATACCGCGACAATCTGCGATTTTCTTTCCACGCCCATGCAATCTTTACCTCCTGGGCTGAATACAGTATACATATCGTCTTGAAATCGATTTTGATCATTTTTACGCCTGTCCCCTCTAATCTCTCCAAGTTATCTTTGCTGTGGCACGGGCCACGATATAGCGAGGTCGTGAAATCGGTCAGGAGACGAAGTTGAATATGAAATATCAGCAGTTGAACTGAAATGACGAGTCCAGCTCGTCGTGGACTTTCTTCAGCAAACTGGCAATGACGAGCTGCACTCGTCGGAAATTATTCAGAGTTGAAGCTTTTTAAATGAGAAGCGTATGTAAGTCGTAGCGAGTCTTTTGCTTTGATACATTTGTTTGCATGCTTCTAGTAACAGTTTGAATGCAGCCAGTATCGCGTAAAGTAAATGCACGACACGACATACCAATGAAGTGCAATAGCGGCTATTTTACTAGTGATATCCGTCTATAGAAGTGATATACTTTTTCGGAGGTGTTGTATCTTACACTCGAAGTTTATTAGTACTTTAAAATAAACCCGAATATAAATGAGGATAAATATATACAGGGTGTCCAGTAACTCCTCGAACACCCGGAAATGGGGGGTTCCTGAGGTGACTCTGAACAACTTTTTCCTTTACCAAAATGTTGTTTGAAGCTTCGTTTTCGAGTTATTAACGAAAAACACTGGCCAATCAGAGCGCGCGTAGAGCCCGCGCTCAGGGACGAAGGAACAGAGATTCACCCGCGCGCTATCGTGAACGACGCGTACGCGTGACTTTGCACCGCTATTTTTATAAGGCTTAGAGAAATTGGTTTTTGCCGTCATTCCGACATTTGTATAAATTTTTGAAAAAACTGCAATTAGTCGGAATCGTGAAGAAAATATCGAAGGTCGTTTTTAACGCGTACGCATTGTTCGATCGCGCGCGAGTGAGCCTCTGTTCTTCGTCCCTGAGCGCGGGCTCTGCGCGCGCTCTGATTGGCCAGTGTTTTTCGTTAATAACTCGAAAACGAAGCTTCAAACAACATTTTGGTAAAGGAAAAAGTTGTTCAGAGTCACCCCAGGAACCCCCCATTTCCGGGTGTTCGAGGAGTTACGGGACACCCTGTATATGTAACACATACTTCTTTCGTTCAAATACTAGAACTGTAATATTTTTGTTAAACATTATTGAAGAGTTTCACGTACGTGTATGAAACAAATATTATTTTTACTAACAACAAATTATTTGAGCAACGAACCCGTAAGTTTCTATATCAATCCCTCGTCTTAAAACTAAGAAAATTAAATTGTCTGACCTAGCAGTGCTGCCTGAAAATAAATTGCAGTTCAAGGGGTTAAGAAGGTTTCGAGGTTTCTAAAAATTGGCGAAATTTTTGGATTTTTTTATTATTAGGTAATTACTAGACGAAGAGTTTCAATTTTTTCAGAGGATTTAAATGTATTACACGCGATGTTTTTGTTATCTCTATTTTTTAATTTTTTTTTTTTGAAGTAATTACAATTTTGTTAAACGCGTACACTGTATTGCGGATAATACGTTTTTATTCATAAATCCAGAAGAGGGCCTTCCAATCCTTGCCGACGATAGCGGCCAGTAATCGATGCTCTCGCAGAGAAAGTTTCGCAATAATTTCTCCAAACTTGTAACACTTTTACTTTTTAAAAATTCCAGAAAGAAGCTGAAAGTTACACTTATATCCCTTGAAAAAAATTGGAATTTGTCATTTACTAGTTACCTATGAAAAAAATTCCCAAACTTTACCTACTTTTAGACGTCTCAAGATGACTTACCCCCTTAACTACTGTACTTAACGCTCACGCCCGTGTGTCAAACGTCCAATGAATGCAATTTTGTTCAATTGTTTTCTTTCATTTTCCATATTGCCTAATTTTTTCTATCGTGGCAGAAACATGAGTTACAATATCACGAATAACGAGAAACTTATTTCTACACGCGTAGAAAATAATTGAGAGAAAACTAAAATTGATCAGTTTTGTCGCGTCAAGTTGTAAAAATGCGACCGTTCAGGGGTTAAAGTCTTGAAACTTCGGCCATTGCCGTACGAAGAAACGTTTGAAACCCGCTAGCAACAGCTTTACCGTTCAAGTGAGTTTTTCTGAACCGTTAGTGGCTATTCGGATACAAGGAAACACTCCAAATGTACCAAATAGTAATTGACATTTGCAGACTTTCCATTTGTAAATGAAACTCCGTTAGTCATAAGTCGTCGTTCTTTTATTTTGCGCAAATCGAAAGCGGAATAAGTGCGGCAACACCAATCAGTCCTGAATTTCGATGATTTAATTTACGACCTCGCTATATCGTCGCCCGCGCTAGAGGTTGCTAGGGTTGCTGAAAAGTATTAATTTTGTACGATTAACAGGTATTCATATTTTCTCACTTTTTCGCGAAGAGAATGTGAATCTTTTAAATTCTTTATTTTGCTTCAAATTGTATATGTGATTATGAATGATAACAACGGTGCGGGAAAAAGGGCAGTTTTGATTGTTGGACAGAATTTCGAGCGTGAATTTACACGTTTCTAACGAAAAACTAGTGCAGTGTTCCACGTAAATAGTATCCGAGGTATATTGACGCAGCTAAAAATGGACTGTAATTATGCTGAAAGTGTGTTATTGATTAAAGCAAGTGATACGAGAAATTCAATTTCACTTTTCAGCACCCTTCGTGTAATCGATTATCTAGCCGAAGGGCAAACATGACGAATTAGTTTGGTCTATTTAAAGCTTTTGGTAGTTATGGAAAATATTTGAACATTGGTCAAAACTGTGGTTAACAAAGTCACTTAGTTTCGTTGTAAATTTACGAAATATTGTATTATTGTAAATTGTACAGATTGTTATTATTAACGTGTGCAGATATTATGAACGTAATATGTTAACTATTAACATTTAATTATTCCCGTTTAATTAATAATTATTTTGGCAATGTTCTGTTCGAAACACTTAGTTTTACAGTTCTTAGTGTAATCCTTTCAGCAATATCCCAAGTTATGTATACATTCACTATTATAATTGTGTTCTCTAAATAGCTATGGTAGTACGAGAAAATTTTCATAGGTAAATTAAATGGTTTCAAATGGTACCTAAAATGGAAGAAAATTATTTTTATAAATGCCACTTTTCTGCTTTTTTACTATATAATTCTTTTCAGTGCATTTCAGCGTGCATAATAATATGACCTTAAAGTGACCTTGGACTCTAAAATTATCTAATCAAATGTGAAACTTCCTTTTATTTTTTGCCATTTCTTCCGTCACAGAAATTTTTCTTTCATCTTATTCGCCATTTAAAATCATTTAAATTACGAGCCAAAATTTCCTCGTACCACCATAAATAGCTACATAGAGAAGATAATTAGGTAACTTCTTTTACATGGCCACCCTGTGCAATCTATTGGAATATAGTACCTATTAAAGTAAGCAAAAATGGTCCACGAATTATACTTGATGGAGACAAGTCAAGATAAAGATGGTTATTTATTTGAAATAAAATTTGAAACAGTAAGATGTTCTGCTTGTGCCTTTCATTCCAATGGAAATTGGGTATTTCCATTGAAAAAAATTCTGAATGCTTCGAAAAATGCGTAGATACCTAATATCGAATTATTTTGTAGCTGTTCTGCATTCTGTATTATAAGTCTTTAAGATCGTGAACTTAAGATGAACTAACTAAACTTTCCATGTATTCCCATAAACAGTAATTTGAAAAGTTGACGTCTGATACACAAAACCAACACTACAAACAAAATTAAGTATTATATCCATATTTCTTTTAGAAGAAATGTGCAGACTTACATACACACGCTTAAATTATTTCACCCGTTTTTCAAATCAGTCTGTATTTAACAAGCCTACAATTTTGAATATTTAATCACGGGAATTCTAATTTCATGGTCTACTGTACTAATTGTAAATACATAATAATAATTTCTAATTCTAATTTCATGGTCTACTGTACTAACTGTAAATACATAGTAATTAGGTATTGTTGAAATATTAATTACGAATTTAGTGTAATAACAATGTTAATGACAACTTCATTTTTCAACGTCGTATTATGAAATTATATATCTATATAATTTAGTACAAGTTCGAATACTTCGACAAGATGATCGATTACCATTAAAAATAATTCGTATATTACTTTAATCGTTACATTTTGGACTTTTCGTTCTTTCGATTTTAAGGCCCACAATGCCATTTGGGTAAAATACTTCGGCCGATCCATCGTAGAGAAAATTTACGAAAACAGTTCCGTTTTTATAGTACATTTTTCCTTTGTATTCGTTTCTATTGAACCTAATGCACGAAAGAAGACATATAAGGTTTAATGATTAATTGTAATACATTAGGAAACATTCTTTGGTGTACCAAAGTGCTATGAAATACATAAGCTGAATTTTCTCGAAAACTAAACAGTGCAAATTTTACACTTGCATTTCTAGCGGTTTCAAATATCGTAAGCTGTTATAAAGTTTAAATTTATACAGCGCAATAAAATGAGTTTATTTATGCAATTTCATATAGAGATAGAGTATGTTACTTTTATCGGTTAAATAAAAATCGATCACACTTATGCAAAATGTAATTGTAAAGGACAATGGAAAAGTTTTGTGGCAGTACAATGTGTTACTTTACTTTTGTACTATATTGTTTTAACTCTGGTTAATTGTGGAAGTGAAAGAATGAAAAGAAATGAAATATTCTGAGTGATCAAATTAATATGATCAGATTAAAAAGATTAAAAAATCGTGGCCTGGCAATTCACTGGATAGGAACACAATAGAAAACTTATGGAAATTATTAAAACATGGAATTGCATCGGAAATGGTAACTAATAAACAGAAAATGATAGAGAAGCATTATGACGCAGGAATAAAAGAAATTTGCAGAAAAAGTATCGAAAGTACGCCGAGACTCATTCAAGCAATTACAGATGGGAATGATGGCTTGACGAAATATTGATGTCTATCCGACTAGAATTTCAGTTAGGCATGCCTAAAGACGAATGTGGGCCTATTGCGGTAACGATTAGGCACACCTAAATACTGCAAGCTTAATCGTTACCGCATTAGGTCCTAATTCGGAAAGAATCATGCATGCCTAAGTTGGGCATTCCTAACAGTTGCCATACGTGGCCCAAATGGGGGTGACCGAGCGCACGCCTAAGTTAGGCATTCCTAACAGTTGCCATACGTGGCCCAAATGGGAGTGGCCGAGCGCACGCCCAAGTTAGGCATTCCTAACAGTTGCCATACGTGGCCCACCCGACTAGAATTTCAGTTAGGCATGCCTAAAGACGAATGTGGGCATAATGCGGAAGGAATAATGCATGCCTAAGTTGGGCATTCCTAACAGTTGCCATACGTGGCCCAAATGGGGGTGGCCGAGCGCACGATAAGGTTGGGCATTCCTAACAGCTGCCATACGTGGCCCAAATGGGAGTGGCTGAGCGCACTCCTAAGTTACGCATTCCTAATAGTTGCCATACATGGCCTAACTGGGAGTGGCCGAGCGCACACCTAAATTAGGTGGAGTGGGGCTCTCAAACTTATACGTAGAATTATTTACAGACATCTCAGTGTCGGACGTACGCTTGCGTGAGAGCATTCAACAAGATAAAAGTTTTTACAATTTAATCCATACAGTGTCTTGATGAGGTTTCCTCATGAGATTTCATTAATATCTCCCAATGACAGCCTAATAAAGCTATTCTAATATGGGCCTAATGCGGCCCTAATGCGGCCCTAACGCGGCTTTCCGAATTAGGTAGTCGTGAATATTCCGCGTTACATACCGCATGCGGACCTGATGCATGCGGAACACGCAAATTAGGCTAACCTAATGCGGACCTAATATCTTCCTAACTGAAATTCTAGTCGGGTATATTTTTGAAAATTTTCAATAATTCGTAGAAATTTTAGAATTCTCTTTAAGTGTTATCAGAACCATAACGATACATTTTGTAATAAAAGAAGGTTCCATTTTAAGTGTATTCTCAATTCCATTTTTGTTCAAACTTCAAACAAGCGATACATAATTTCCAAATGTTCGTAATAATTTAATCACCCACTGTAATTGTAAACCTGATCTGAGTAACATTCTATTACAAGACCAGTATAAAAATGTTTTCAATTTCAATAGTTCCCTAAAGTCTTCTAATCATACTTTAATCTTTGTTATAAATTCGAACATTTTCCTTGCTGTCGTGTACCGTTGTTCCCAACAATTGATTCACGTACCAGTCGATATGAGGCTTTGCCGGCTTTGTTTGATACTGAACGATTTTCCTCATGGTTTTGGCAATTGGCAACATAGTCCAGCCCAGTTCCATGAAGTACTGGTTTGATAATTGGTACTCAATCGAGCTCCGATCGCCTGTAACGTAGAAATTTCACGATGCCGGATGCTGGACTCGCCTCGCTCTACACACATAAACCACATTATTTGGATGCGATACGATAATGATAACCAAACACTCCCAGGCCCCAAGTGTTCCGGATTAATGACGATTTGGTATCGGACTTCCGTTGATCTCCATTCGGTCAGGAATCCGGATAATGATTTCGAATTAGATAATATCGTTGTAGAATCGAGATCTCGTAATTGAGATCAGAAAGAAGAAAAGAAAGGAAGAAAAATTCGATTTTCTTCGTTGAGAAAAAGGAACGATTTAACACGAGACCAGTATTTTGAAAAATGTTTGAATTTTTAGAAATGGAAGAATCAATCTCTGTACAAACGAGCCAGTAAAATAATTAGATTGAATTTTCCTCCCGAGAACAAGTGACGATGCAAACGTGTTAAGAGTTGTATTTTTACTCTTGCATGGAAGTATAGTCGGTGGAAGAAATATAGCGTAGGAAAATCAGCGTGATCAAGAATCAGCTTTTGTAAGCTTCTGTAGAGCATCGATTACAACTTTGTGTACGTTGGCAATGCAAGTAGCGTCAAAATGATTGCTCTCAATTTCAACCTCATAAAGAAGAAATCACAATAAACGATTTTGGCACGCTTCTACGGGTTCAACGGTTATGTCTGATTTTATGGAAACTTGGCGGCCGCGCTGATTTATAAGGCTCATCTTTCACTGTTTATTGCTTTTTAAGAACATCTTGTGCTAACGAAAACTTGGTCAGATAAAAAGTGTAAATCTATATGCAACCTTTAATTTTTTAGCAGGATTCTTTTTAGCTGCTATAAAAATTTTAATCAGTATTTTAAATAAACGGTCAGTATTTAAAGCAAAACATCGGTACGTATTGTAAGTGGTCAGTATTATATCGATTAATACAAAAACTGTCAGTATTTTTATTGAAATATCAGTAAACATAGTAATTTGTTAGTATTTTATCGTAAAATATTCTAACCTAACCAAAAATGTTTATTTCATTCACCAAAAAACAAATTAATACCGACCAAATAAACAAAATTGTACCGACAAAATGTTGAGAGTATATGAGTGCCAACGCACACATGGTTGTAGCGAGTGTGCTGCCGCCGACGGGATGCCGCTGCATCGCGTGTGTTTTGTTTTCATAGCGTCTAGTGCAAGACAAAGCATAGAAATATATCCCTTTGCATGTAGAACTTGTGTATCAGTTCATTATTTCTCACACGCAATGCTTGCATAGCAATCCATTACTTATCAAGTTATGGGCCCAGAAGAGAGAAATAATAAGAAATTGACGAGTAACTAAAGGGAAGAAAATTCCAAGGAAGAATTGAGGTTAACCACGTGCGTGAAAAATCAGTATCAGTTCATTATTTCTCATACGCAATGCTTGCATAGCAGATCATTATTTATCACAAAATACGATTTAATACTGACAATTAGCTATTTATACTGACCAAAATATTCATTTTTACTGACTATTTTAAAACATTCTTACCATTAATTGAAACGAATACTGACCAAATAAATAGACGTGATTCTTTTTCAGTTTTGCATAGCACTGTTCTTGTGTTTGCTCTTTCGTGTGGTTTTTTATTTACACAAATTTTCACTGAAGTACACGTGTTCAAATTAGCAAATCGAGAATTATTCTGAAAGTAGAGTAAGGATGTAGCTAATCGCGTAGATTTTAATTTTTGCATCGGTATCAGTTTCTCAGAGAAAATTTCAATCTCACTCCGACACACTTCGTGCAAACAGATATTCATACAGTGGATCAGCAATGATTTGAACATTAACCTCTTATTCAAAAGATATAAAAAAAACATTTGATAAGACGAAAACAAAATGTGTAACAAAACTGGTCCTTTTTTAAAAGTGAAAGTAACGAACATAAAGCAAAATACAACCTCTCTCTTACCAACTTTCTTTCTTTCTAAATAGTTGTGATTAATTAGAAGTATCATAAAGTTCGGTGACTGTAAATTTTAGTTCAAGAATAGTTCTGACGTAGGAAAGGGGTTGTTTGTTAATTTCAGACTTTCCTTTCGTTTGGCAATATTTCGCCTTACCGAATTCGGTGCGGTAAAGTTTCGTACCTTCCGTCCTTCCTTTTTCATAACTGAATCCATTTGTCTTAGTGTAATTGTCGTCCACGTCCATTTTACTCGAACCAACTTGGTCACGTCTCTTCTTGCCGAATGAACTCGTTCCTTTTTTACTGTACACTTCTGAATCGAGCGTTGATTTATCCTCCGTGCTCGTACCAACTTTCGCTTTATACACAAAGAAAAATTTCATTCCGTCGTTATGCTTGTTACTCTACACGTTGTACGTGAAACTTGCTGCTTTTGGAAAAAATGAAAAGTTGGAGATAATAATGCAACGCCTTCTCGAACCATTTATCTTCACCGCTGAAACTTATGAAATTATCGATGTTCTGATTTACACAGTTGACCTCAAAAATCACGTCATCTACACGGATTCTATAAACGTAATCAAAGCCTTATCAGGTCTAAACAGAAATGACAAATTGCAAGAAATGGACAAGAAACTAGGACTTTTACCAAGAACTGTGCAGAGCTCAGGAGTTTGCCCCTGGAAGGGTCATATCCCCATAAACCCACCTTCTCTAACACAATCATAAAAATAGGGCACACATAAGCAGGATCGAGAAATAAATAATTTCATGTATATTAAAAAGAACTGTATTATTTTATACATCAAATAAAGAAAAAAAGAAATGAAACGCCTCATCTATTATGACTAGGGTTGCCATCCGTCCGGGTTTCCCCGGATTTGTCCTAGTTCTGAAGGTGTTCGGAGAAGTCCAGGGGGATTTTCTACAGTGATCCGGGTTTTCCGATGTTCGTTTCCAAACCGTCAACTCCTACCGATCATCCGGGTTATGTTATCTGTACGTTGCGTGCGGTGATCTAGCATGCGTCAGACGCACCTCTACTAATATACCGAATAGTAACGCATCTGTTTTTCTAGGAGCGATTTTCAAGTGTCGCGTTCGCATCAGAAGCAGTCTAAATGCAAACGCAAGAAAGAAGTTTTTGTCTTGGAATATCGTAATTAATCTAAAAAATAGAAGTGTCCGGGGTTTTAATGCTCTCTATTCTAGATTGGTGACTTTACAAATGGCAGCCCTAATCACGACTCTCCCTTTTGGACTAACTCAAAACGCAAAAACGCCTCTTGTCGTTGACAACGACGATTCCGTCCCTTTTCTGACTCCGTGCGTTCGCCTCTATTTACATGTATTGACATTATTCGCCGACGCGATATTATCAACGAATGAAAACATTTAAAGTTGCGTGACTTGGGCACTGGGAGCGAAATGCCCCTCCTGAACGCAGAATAATACTCGGATAGCTACTCAATTTAGACCCGAGTATCCGGATACTTGCGTGATTTAGATTCGGATATCCGGATACGTCTGTATTACCCTCGCGATGAGTCTATTGGATAGTACATAATAGTGTCGAACACTCTCCTGTAAAATATAAGTTTGTATAAAGTGGAGACGCCTTGTGGTAGATCTCAAACAAATATTCGACACGTATTTTTAGTTTCATTGGCATTCGTCCACATTGAAGGGGTGAAAATCGCTCTCAAAGTTGGAGGTAGAAAATATATTTATTTCAAAATCTCGAAAATTATTAGAGACAGAGGGGTGGAGTAAATTAACGAAATTTGTATTTCTGAACGTCGAATGTGGCTGCTTAAACAGATTTTGAAAAATTCCATTTGTTTAAATAATATACTAAAAATTATAACTTTTTTACTTTCGACGAGTCTGTAAGCTGAATTTTATCTTAACCTCCTGATGTAGCACTCAGCAAACAATTGAAAAGTCGTTTAAAAAATTGTTTTGTATGCTTTAAGATGTGAAAAAAGTTTGACATTGTTATTCATTGGACACTGGAAAAAAAATCCTGAATATTGCCGAAATTTTCGGTGCGATTACTAGAATGACCTTTTAAAGTAAAGCGACCTAATGCTAAAATGTAGAGCCACTTTCAATTAGTCCCTTTGGAGACACCAGGATATATTGCATGTCTGGTCCTGGCGACTAAGTTTGCAGACAACGCAACAAATGGGCTTTGTCTATTCAAAGTGAAAAATAGTTGTTTGCAACGCTGGACCACTTGAGACCATGCCATAACCCGCCTACACGATGTACCTAATAAGAATTGTATTTTGACACTCGTCTGAAGAATTTAAGTTATGAAAAAGAGTAGGTAATTTTCAATAGATAAATTTTGTTTCGCTTTTCTTCACAATTTCGACAGTGTTAAATCGCAACGAAAATCGAGAAAATTGCTTTCAAATTATACAAGGTGGTCCACCTAACGTGACTAAACATTTTCGTTATTAGCAGATCGCTCCAAATTTCTTTGGTCACAAGAATTTCAAGGTAGTGACCTTATATTTTTCTATGTCCTTTATTACGTCCTATGTCCTGCTAGCTAATAGGAAAAGAAAATTATGGTTATACACAAAAAGAATTGAACGTGGTCTCGAAAACTTATTTTAAAAAGACAGAAAGAATCTAAGGTCATCATCTTGAAGAACCTTTGAAATCGTATCAACTGTGACGAAAATATTTTAATCGGTCCACTAATAATGAAAATAACTGAGGTGGTCACGTTAGAAGGTCCACCAACTATACCTGCTGTTCAATGTTGCATATTTTTAACAAGTGTACCTACCGCCTTTACGTTTCTTCGTTAAGTCAGGATCACTTTCGTCAGCCTCTTCGCTGGAACGACTCTTTCGTTTCTCATCGCGTCTAAGAATTTCGCCCTTTTCGTTAACACCGTGAGACACTTCTTTCCTTTCGCTGTCAAGCGTATCTCCTTTTTTCTTCTTTCTACCGCGAATCTCTTTATTTTCACTTGCATCCGCCATTTCATCCATCTTGTCAATACTCTTTACCTCTCGTGACTCTTTTCTGCCTCGCCGATCCATCGTTTCCCCTTCACCGTCAATAGCGTTCGTCTTTCTCACATGTTTCTCCTTTTCACTTTCCGCTAACTCGCCCCTATCAAGTATCCTCCGCGCTTTTCCTCCAGCCAACGATGCGTCTTTCGTTGCTCGTTTAGAACGGTTAACCGTATCCCCATCGAGCTCCGCGTCCGACAATCCTGCGCGTTCCGATCGATTTGAATACTCGGCATCTCTCTTAATTTTCCTCATTTTCCCGACAGCCGTTCGTTTTTCAAGCTTCGTGTCACGTAAACTACGCGATCTACGGGCTTCCCCGAGCTCGCTTTTATACGGAGCGTCGTCACGTCTTGGCCGTCCATCCGGCGTGATAGGATACCCTCCACTTCTATCGATATTGCGGCTCCTCTTTATTTCTCCTCTCATCTTTCCCTCGAACTTACGAGTTGCCGTCTTTGTTAAATCTCTGCCCTCGACTCCGATAAATTTGTTCCGTTCCCGGCTCGAATCGTCGTATTTTTCCACCTCTGTTTTTCTTGAGGACACTTCAGCCACAGCGCGACGTGTCGCGCTTATCTCGCGGACAGATGGATGTTTTATCGTTCGATCGAAACCTCTTCGTTTTCCCTTTGCACTTTCACGTTCCCCGGCGAATCTTGCGTCGCTGCTCTTATAATCCGTGACAAACATAGTCGGTGATTTTCCGTCGGAAGCGTGCACGTTTGAACTTTCATCGATACCTGCGAATTGCTCGTGCCTCGGAGACGTCGATTTTCCTTCAAAAACACTCGGTTCCTCCTTGCCGACGCTCTATCAATCATGACAGAGACGAATTTACTTCTCGTGTCGCGGGAAAGTCTCGTTAAAGCTTTGTTCTTACGAAACTAACCGATATCGACTGTTGCAGAGCCCACTCTTTGTAGATGCTGTGAAATTGCTGCGCGTCCTTGCAACAAAATGTCCCCTAGGAGAAAATCAAGCTGGAGTGTTTCAAGGTAGAGTAGCTTTGAATAGTTTTCGGGGATTATTGAACTAAGTGAAACTGTTGAATATTAAAAATCAACACGTTGCAGTCGTTCTTTTGACATTTTCTCTTTCTCTCCAGATTGTCAGGAATATCAATGCAGAAAAGAGGTGAATAAATGCGATATGTACAAATATTTATGTACCGAAGTTAGAATCCTGGTACCGACAATTCAAATCGTTATAATTTCTGATACGTGCAAAATTTTACAAAATGTTTCAAGCAAATGTTATTTAGTTTAGTAAGGGCTATTGTAAGTAAAAATTGAAGTTACCCTCCGTTTCCACGTTTAGAGTGGGACTAGATTTCTTTTCTTTACTTGCTATAAAAGGCCACTTTATAACATAAAGGTTGAAACAAAAGTCTTCTCGATACTATTAATAGGTTTGTAAACATCGACTTGTAACAGTGAAGTGAAAACGGTTTCGCAACGAGCATATTGCGATTCGTAACAATATGTATACCAAAATACTATTTTATTTGGCGTATTACCATATGTCACAATTATAGAAGCTTGAAAGAGAATTTTTACCTTAACTACATCGTAATGACGTTAATTTTATTTTATTTTAATTCCTGTTTTTGAATATTTTGATATTTTGGAAATTTTGTTTTTGGATACTTTTAATTTTAGATGTTTTGGATATTAAATGATCTAGAATAACCATGGAAGACCGACATATCATAGGGCAGTGTGTTTGTATCGAAATGAGATACACGAATTAAAAACGACGATGCTATTTCATTTAAGAAAATAAAGATCACTTTGAAATATCGGAAATATTGAAATACCTTCATCCAGAACAAAATTGTACTCGTTGTATGATATTCGAATAACGAATAGCTGGAGAGACAATCCCTTGGAAAGTTATAATAGGACACTCTGTATATTGAACAAAAACATCAATTTTCCTGCTGGCCACTTGTTTTAATTAAAGAATAATGTACAAAGGAGCGTAAGCGTGCCCATGTTTAAAATTTTCGAATGAATTTTAATATAGAATGCAGGTTCGATAAAGGACAAACGAGAGATTCATTTTTGACATAAATAACTCATTTAAGTTTACGCTGGCTTTTAATTAGAAGACACGAAAATTTTATTAAGCAGACCGAGATGCTTCAAATTTAACAAAATCTCTCAAGTTCAAAGAAGTTTAGCAAAGTCTGGAAAACTTCTCGAAACTCTAAAGATTTCTTCAAAGTAGGAGAAAGTTCTCTGGGTAAAGTTCAATTTCTGCTTAAATCAAGTTTAAAAATATTATACTGAGCAATGTTTAACGTTGCCTGATATTATCTTATCCTTTTGAACTTTCCAGTACCGAGGAACCGTATTCAGACGTAAAGATCGTGGTGAAGTCTACGAAACTCCTGTACTTTTAGATTATTTATACGTAAATATACAATTATTTTTACTGTTTTATTTTAGACAAAGGAAAATGAGCAAATGCGAAAGTATTCATTACGAAGAAACAAATATTATGACAAAGAAGATTTTACTCTGAAGGTTACATTTCCCGAGATTTCAAGGTCACCCAAATTTTTTTAAATGGAATATTTGATTTTTATAATGGAGTATATTTTCATTATTGAAATACTGCGTAGAAAAGTAAATTCGTTCGTATACAGGGTCGTCCTTTAAATATCCCCTCAAATTGTGACGATGGAAAAAATATTTTTTACGTAATATGAATGGTATCAAAAGACCAATATTGGGCAAAAAATGTTTCTTTTATTTTTTTCCAAGCTTTCAAGATCATCAATCACCCAAGGCTACCCATCGTTTAGCGGATGTTGAAAAAAAATCCAATTGACCTCGAAGTGACCATTTCAACGTACTTTCCGAAATACACATTCGGACCGGACTAATTTGTCCCAAAAAAGCGAATTTCAACAGGCAAAATCTGAGCAACGTAAAAAATGAAGCCGAAAACGATTTACTGAAAAACGTATGTAATATTAGCATTTATAGATTAAAACCTGAATATGTATGTGTTATAAATCTCAAAGCAGATTTTTCTTTATCGCTGATTTCTTACTGGCAGGCAATCCAACAATGTACATTTACCTTTTTAGATTTCATATTTAGTCAATTCTTTCTAATATTTTTTGCAATTTTTATTCTTGGTAGCTTTAGACCAAGCCTGTCCAACCTGTGGCCCGCGGGCCGCAATGTGGCCCCGAATGGCACAATATCGTAAACTTTTAACATTATGTGATTTTTAGCGATATTTTGCACGACTCAATTGCGTTATAATAAAAAATATTAAAAAATAAAGGAGGCTTTGTTACTTATGTACAATTAACTGTATTATATATTTCGTACGGCCCAGGCAAGTCGAAAGGTTGGACACCCGTGCTTTAGACCCTTTTAAATATTACATCTCAAGACTGTGTAAACAATGTTATGGAAGAGAGTCTGTTCAATATTTAACGTAATGCATTATTCAAAGATTCGACGTTTCACTTACCCATTGTCTAGTCGTTTCACTAACCACGCGATCACAAAACCTGCAGATTCTGAAACCGGGTCGCGTCCAAGACATTTTTTCACTCCAGTCGCGAATAAAATTGTTCACAAGATTTAACATCAGTTCATTGTGCGTGTCGCGTGACGGTTGTTCTGCAATAACGCCATAATGGTCTCGAGAAATTCAGACCCGTATAACTAACGCCAATTTCATTGCCAAGGCTCGTAATAAAACAATTAGTAATTTAACAATGCACTGTCATTTTCTCTGCGTTTCGCCTTGATTTTTTGCCAAATTGGATTCATTCGAAAATATCGTTTTCAACAGAAGGTTGCACGATGTGTATAGATTACCTTCTAGATGGTAATCAGAACAGATGTACCTCTTCATTACTTCCTTCAGAAGGAGTGACAGTGTTTGAAGCTTTTTCGACGGTGCGCAAGGTGACAATCGTTCCAAAGTGCACAAGATATCTTTCACTTGACATATAACATTCTCGACAGCACAGCTCTTCTGTACACATGTGAGAACTGCATCTACCTAGCCAGCACGAAAGAAGAACAAAGGAAATAGGAACCAAGTACCCAGGGGAATAGGACTAAGTACCACAGCACATAATTAGGTCAGAACTGCAATTTCTTGTTTCAACTAAATTACATCAAAATTACGTTTTCCTGAAATATAAGTGCACCAGTTCATATTCACGTACTCCAACTATTTTTCTTACTTAAAAAAGTGTGAGTTTATTGGTTGCGCTCGTAATGTTCTGTGAACGCATGTACGAAAGGGTTAAAGAGCACAATTGTGTATGCAGTATCATGGTCGACATTTTGATCAGTTTCTACGGTAAGGAAATTAATTTTTACAAAGCAGTACATAGTCTTATCCTTATTTATGAAATTATTCCGACCAAATAGATGATGAAAGAAATGAATACTGCGTCATGATAGTAATTGTGATAGTAGCAGAACATATTTATGAATACAAATACGAGCAGTAGGTTATAGTTAGTAGGTACAAAGTCGTTTTTCTCGAAAACAAAGCCTCATATGTAAAACCTTTATTTTGCACTTTCGACAAAATCTAGTCATCTAGTCAAAAAAATCTAGTATTCTAGATTGCTGTCATTTGCTTATGGTTCTGATAGTACAAGTCAATTTCACTTTTTTTACGTTCTTCTACCTGAGATTCCAATAGTCTATACAGGGTGGGGCATTTAAATGGGAACACTGAAATATCTTCACTATCAATGGTCGCATGAAAGGACTCCAAAGGGAAAATTTATATTGCTTGAAGGGGCGCACGCAATGGCAGATGAAATTTTTTCTCACTGTCATTTTTCTGCGAGGTTACAAGGCCATCGGAAGTTTTTACATATTTTCTACATATTTTCATAATTGGGATATGATAGCTGAGGTCGAAATTTGCGTGATCTTGAATACAAAAAATTCATAAAAATTGGGCAATTGATGCAAATAGTGAAATAACTATGAAGGATAATTTGCTTATATCTACTCTGCTGCTCGCCTATAGGAGAATTGTGAGGATAGAGAAATGTAGCTAAATTATGAACTGCCTTTGAAAACAAATCATTGAATATGATCTACATATACAGGGTGGTTCGCGCAACTGTTTCAGGTCATAACTCCGTCAAATATGCATTTACGAAAAAATGCCAAAGGAGGAAGATAAATGGCTCGAAGAGCACTACATTTGTACGCCCTTAGATTTCTTTTAAGTGCAACAGTGCATGTGCAATTAACAGTTGCATCATTTCTTTAAATGGAAATGCCAATTTTTTGTTGCACAGAACGATTCCTCCGTTCGTTCTAAGTAAAAAATGATTAGGGTATCATGGCAAAAAAATCATTAGTTCTCGAGATATTTTCAATACATTTTCTTTTATTTAGTGAAATACAATCACAATTTTTCAAATGCAAAAAAATCATTAGTTCTCGAGATATTTTCAATACATTTTCTTTTATTTAGTGAAATACAATTACAATTTTTCAAATTTACGATACGTAAATTGCTACTGAATGATGAAATACTTACTCGTACAAATCAGTTTCTGTTATGACAACAATTTCGAAACGGTGTTTACGTTTACTACATAGTCACGAAGCGTTTGAGCATCTTCTTTATTAAAGACATTTTTTGAAAATATCTCGAGAACTAGTAAATTTTTTGCCATGATACCCTAACAATTTTTTACGTATAGTTGGGGCCACGATATAGCGAGGTCGTAAAATCGGTCAGACGTCAAATTAAACATGTTTTAGCTGCCGGGACCCGAAAATTGACAGAGATACGAGCAGATAAGTACTTGAAACCATTGTCAGGACCGTACGAAGAATTCTTGTATCCAGCGAAAGTCAACTGATTCTAATATATTTACTGAAAACTGCATGCAGCTAGGACAAATTAGGGTTTCTCCCTCTGGGGGAAGCCGCTTTTGGAAGTACGGTTACAAGTAAAGGTCTTATTGAGGTCTTTAACATCTTCATTTACCTGCTCGTGTTATATACAGATAGAAAATGCAAAAGGATTGTGTAGCTTTAATATTAACATATTTTCCATTTGTAAATGAAATACCATTTTCTACTTGAAGTACCAAATCATATGCTACCATTCGTTTATTGTTGGAACCCTCAAACAGACTGCAACACACGGCCTTGAGTGCCGCAACATCAATCGATGCCGATTCTTGAGAGTTTAATTTACGACCTCGCTATATCGTGGCCCCAACTATCGAATGAACGGAGGAATCGACCTGTGCAACAAAAAATATGCATTTCCGTTTAAAGAAGTGATGCAATTGTTAATTGTGCATGCACTGTTGCACTTAAAAGAAATCTAAGGGCCTACAGATGTAGTGCCCTTCGAGCCGTTTATCTTCCTCCTTTGGCATTTTTTCGTAAACGCATCAGTAACGGAGTTATGACATGAAACAATTGCGTGGACCACCCTGTATAGCGCTATTTGGGTCGTAAAGGACCATTAATTGCCATGATAGAAAATACATTTAAACTTTACTTTGCGAACGATGTTTTCTGGCAGAACTTTGTTATCCCGGCAGTGGACACAGGGGAGTACGTTGCGAAACAATCCAGATCGTTGGGACCTCTTTTTCGGCATATTGTCGCAAATTACCGTTGTCATTGCTACAGTCACGATGTCCAGAGCCGCGTGCAACGGGACAGCGTCGTAATTCACGCCGCAACATTTATCCGCGTGATAGCTGATTTGTTCAAACACTCAGTTATTCCGCGCGTTGATTATAATTTTATTTCTAAAAAACAATTATCGTCGATTAAACCGGCCGTCAGACGAACCTGAAGAAGTCCATGAAGCTTCTCAATAAGCGATGAGCTTGCATGAAAACTTCGAGCGCAAACGGCAGCCATTCCGAGTTTTCGGTTAATCGAACATCTCGAGACGAACAGGCTCCCATACACGACATTATTGCGGGCAATCTCTATCGCTTCGTGAGTCTTTCGGTAAATTTTGAAATTAACCTGCCGTGGTGCGTATTTCCTTTATCACGTTCTACTCTCTGAAAACAGGAAATGTGCGCCTATTTAGTGATAAATGAAGTGAATTTTAAGTGAAACAAACGTTCACTACGTGTCAAGTCCCCCTTTTTTTCTAATCATTCTAACAATTACGCGTTACAGAATAAATCGTTTCAGAGTGTGGATCTATTTATTTTTGTTTAAACCAGACAAACCGACATCGGTCTTCGCTGTAAATCATCAGCCTTGTTGACAGTTTTCGTTGCACGCTCATGTAACAACTGACGTTCGTCATATCGTGCGTGTGTGTATAATAGGTAGTTACTCAATCGATGTCTCATGCTGTTTCATATCGAAGCTCGCGAGCCTATTGATTTTATTTGCGCGAGCGTTATTCGAAATAAAAAGTGTGCCTGAAATGCTGACAATACAGGGCGACAGAACGATCGCGATACAAGTGAGAAAAGGCTTCTTTCTCATGAGAAAATCAGCAGAAATTGTAGAACAACGTTTTACGCGATTTCGTTTTCAAGATAATTAATATTAAAAATTCGTGGTACACGAGTTGTATATAATTCACAATATTCGTTGTATATGACTAATTTGTGCATATTTGTCTGGAATGATTGTTAATTGGATTATTTTTCGAAAAAAACAAGAGGTTACTATTTGAATAATTCGTACTGTTTGTTAGAAGTATGGTTGAATGTTTAAAGTTGCTGTTCCAAGGTTCTAGATACGGCTGTAAAACTTGGGATAATTCGGATAATTTTGAATAGGAATTCTTTATTCGGATAATTCGAATATTCGAAGTGTTTGAGTTTGGGACTGTGCCGAATATTTTGTACATTTCGAATATTCGAATAATTGAATAGATAATTTTAGGAAGGCAGACCACGTTCGGTGCAATGGGTTCGAGATATATTTATTCCTAAAGCATTCGGCGTAATTAGTAGCTCATCATTAGCGATATGATTGACGTATCAATATGCGTGTGCAATGTACAGTTGTCTGCGCATGATAGCTTCCATTTCGAGGCAAGCTGAAATCCCTAAATGATTTTAAGGGACTGTAACATTTGTGTTTCTCTCCACATTACGGAAACGGGTTCTGAAATTTATAGAGTATTATTCGCTTTGTGGACGCACTCTTACCCGTTAATAATAAGAATAATATTAATGCTGGTCAAGTGCTATATCAAGTATAATAATCGAATCTTCGAAATGTTCGAAATAATTGGCATAATAAATGATAAACCGAAATTCAAACGTTTCGAATATTCGACTTATCAGAGTTATTCAAATTGTTGAACTATTCAAAGTTTAAATCCGAATTTTACTGAGTACTACTATTCGAATAATTCGGATAATTCGAATGCCATTAGAATTCGGATTTTAACTTGGAATGGTTGAACTATTCGAATACCAGTAGAATTTGGATTTTAACTTCAAATGGTTGGACTACTGAAATATCAGTAGAATTCGGATTTTAACTTCGAATGGTTGAATTATTTGAATACCTGTGGAATTCGGATTTCAACTTCAAATGATTGAACTATTCGAATACCAGTAGAATTCGGATTTTAACTTCAAATGTTTGGGCTACTGAAATATCAGTAGAATTCGGATTTTAACTTCGAATGGTTGAACTATTCGAATACCAGTAGAATTCGGATTTCAACTTCAAATAGTTGGACTACTAAAATATCAGTAGAATTCTGATTTTAACTTCGAATGGTTGAATTATTTGAGTACCTGTTCAATTTAATTTCGAATTGTTGAATTATTCCAATAGCTGTGGAATTCGGATTTCAACTTCGAATGGTTCAACTATTCGAATAATCCGCATAATTCGAATATTTGAATACATCGAATACTCAGATTTTGGTAACAGCTTTAGTTTTGAAGTAGTTAGATGCCGTGCTGTGCCTCACGGTCCTCTTACCAGAAAGCATCTTCTTCGTCTTCCCAACTCCGTGGCCAACTCCTCTAGGAACAATGTTCCCATTTTTAAGGTAACGCAACGACAGGTTGCTTGTCATCCCTAAACTTTCTTATGCCTTATTTCACACAATCAATCCTACGACACCCGATAGCTACGTGACTTCGAGTCACTTTAGCTATTGTTGGACGCTTGGATTGCACATTCTCACAAACTCTCTCTCTGGCGACACGCAGTCTAAGTATACCTTAGCTGCCATAAATCGTACCAAAGCAAAATAGCGTCGGGCTAATTGCCTTCGACGACTTTTAAAAATACGTAGTCGCTAACAAGTTTGCATTATGTATGCGTGTGATGGATTTTAATGTAAATTTGTTATTAAAATGTTGTTCAAGTGAAATAATATACTTCAATGAGAGTAATTATCCATTATCATTTGCGTACATTTACTAACTCCATTTAGCATAAAATAATTCATTCGGATATACTATCCTCGCGAATATTCTAATAATATATTTAATAATTTCAATTACATTCAAATAATACTTGGCCACGAAATATTTCTTGAATTACTGCAAAGAAACGTTATTTTAATTGCAGAAATTTCAGTATTATCACTGAAAAATTAGTAACCCACGTGATATTCCATACTTTCTTATAAAAAAAAAATGGTCTCATCGTAAATATGTAAATGTTTCGTTATTACGTTCCACTCGAATTTCGACGCTTTTCATTTTCCATTGCGCTATCGAGACCAACAAACGAATACTAAACTTAAAAGGAGAAATGGTTCATATTTTACCTTCTCCGGCTTAAAGAAGCATTTAACGTACTTACATTTCCATACATATGTGATCTCGCGTGGAACAAATGACGGCGTGCTCTTCATGTTTTAGACTAAAGTGCTGTAACGAAGGGTACAGAATACGCTTGAGACATTTAAAAGCGGTTGCTTTTACCGAGATCTCATAAACAGAACAGAAGTGCCCTGTCTTATGAATTACACTTAATTATGCACTAATATGTTTTACCGATTGCTTCGTTACATGAATAATGTATTAGTTTAACCCTTTCGTTACTACTGGCGTCTGTAGGTATTTCAAAAATTTGCTCGCAGCATACTGCTGGAGCATTTTGGTGCACTTCCACCTTAATTTAATATTTCATTTTATCCTTCACGCACTTCCACCTTAATTTAATGAACCGAATTTTAAAACGATAAATCTGTCGTAGTGAAAGGGTTAAGTAATAAGTAAGAAGTAAAAGGCAATAAGTTCATTCTCGATAAACAGTGTTTTATCTGCAGCATCAGCCAGTTTTTTCAATTTTGTACGAGTAAGGTCTTTCTAAAGACGAGGACTTTTATTTTCTTTAAATTTCTTATTGTTGTAATTTTTATTACATTATTTCATATTCTTTGCGTTGATCTTGTTTATTATTTGCACCATATTTTTTCTGGTTTCGTTTAGAAAAGTGTCGCGGTTTCTTCCGTATTCACGATAGAAGTGCACTTTTATGCTCCGCCACTTTTTCATTTTCACGCTTCCGCAATTTGACATTTCCCCATTGTTGCATCGCCACAGTTTCACATTTCCATACTCTCATGCTGTTACACTACCATGGCAACGTCACGTAAGCAGAGTAGCTAGGTAAATTGAAGAAAAAATCAAATTACTGCACTATTCTTGTTACACCTTTCATTGTTGGTATCTGCTAAAAAAATATTTCAGACGAATTACGCACTTAAGTGGAAAATTTGAACGCTATTTTTTTATTTGTTACTAGCATCGATTGCAAGAAAATACGAGCAGGGCCGCGTCTAGATCTTTTTATATAAACCAGAACGAGGATGGTACTCGTTAAGAAAACCACAATTTTTCAAGTTGTGTTAATTTATATTATTGCAGTTTCAGACTACAAAACAATATAAAATGAAAATAAAAAAGCAATAGGTATTGAATTATTTTAAGAAATTTAGAATTTGATAGAGGACTATTTTGCCTGATGGTAAACGCTGCTCTGAATACGAGGGACGACCGGCGACATATTTATACAGTTTTCTATCGTCGAAGGCAGATTTTCAGTTTCACCTAAATGCAATATTCATTTGAATATGAGAGAAACTGGGACACGGCGAGAGCGTGAGAGATAGAAGAAAGGCGGAGAGGAGTCTATCGCAAAATTGCAGTTTCTGCTAGACTTTCACGAATGAAAAAGCAGTAAACGGACAAGCATATAGAATGTTCACAATTTCCGAGTCATTTGCTGTGATACGAGAAAGACAGTTCTTAAAAGAAGGTTATTCATTTTGAAGGAGCAACGTGAAGCCAGGTCAACCATTTCAAAAATACTCCTTTATGTGGTAAAATCAAGGCTGTACTGTGTTTCTCAAATGGATCCATGTGATATTTGTTTTTATAGTCTCGTATAGAGTGTGCCATGTAACCTGTTATCCTGAACCAAACGAAATATCGAAAAACTTTTCATTGGACTTTTTATAATTGCGAAGGGTAGGTACTTCGTGATATGTGACATATTTTTCGAGATCACTTTAATTTTTCTTAAATAATATACTACTTGTTTGTTAGAAAAAACCAGTCGTGTAGAGTATCGAGCTTATACAGGGTGGATTAATAAGAATTACCACTTTGACTGTCTCCGGAACTATGAAAGTAAGACCAAAATTTGTCAAATAAAAATTGTTTGCTATGAGAGATGCCATCTTATGGCTACTTATTTTTAAAAAATTTTTTTTATGGCTGTTTCTTTAACTATATGTCATAGGTTTTCATTTGTGTATTAATAGCAGCCTCTAAGACGAACCTAAAAATTTATAATTGTAAGGGCTTTTAGTCTAAATAATATTTTGTCAGGATTAGTTAAAGTAACGTCGAAAACTATATTTATTTCTCCGTCTGTCGTTGACTCCTCGTCCTTGTCAACTACGTGCCTCCTAATCCGTTCTAATGCAATTCTTACAGTCCTCTTAACGCGTCCTTATACACGA